CAGAGTCCACACTGCAAGCTGGAAACCCTACGGTCAGCACTCAGACTACACTGCAGAAAACAATACAAACCCTTTATTTAGACATTTATTCCACAAAACAAAAATGTTACGCTACATGGTCAAAAACAAAGTTACAAGTCTGATATTACTTATATCACCTTTTTTACAGCTGGTAGTCGATCTGACATAACTTTTTTATCCTAATTGAATGTGAAAATATTGACTTGTTGGGTTCAGATCTCCAACTAATCAGAGGAAGTTGAAGTTGAACTTTTTAGACATAGATATCTTATGCTCCTTCAAGTGTTCTTCACACTTTGATCCCCGTGAGTCCCAAGACTATAATAGTTGTGTATACGTTTACTTTTTGCTCAATTCGTCTGTTCTGCTAGTTGGCTGACTTAATCAAGAACAAATCAGATATCTGAACAAATCAGAGATAAGATTCCCAAAATGATGTGATCTGTTAGATTATGATGCTGAATATGTTTAGCAATCGATGTACATCTATGCAATGTTTCATACATTGTGTAATGAATTTGCTTTCAGGACAATCATTTAAAGCTATTTGACCATGTGACTTTATTTGTGTGCAGGCTGTCAGGCTGTCTCATCACTGAGGAAGGTTGGGCTGCTCTGGATTTAGCTTTGAGATCCAAGCCCTCCAGTCTGAAGAAGCTGGACCTCAGTTACAACCATATTGGAGACTCAGGAAAGAAACCTGCTGCAAGTTATGGACTGAAAGTCCTTAAGTATGAACAACAACTCGATTAGTTTTTTCTTAAATGGTCAGACAAATGATTGAGATTTGCTGAAACACAATATCACAATTAAGAAATATTTTTGGATAAAGTCATTTTTAGTTTGACCAATTTTACAGCTATAATCAAAATATCTTGCATATGACTTTATTATCATGCCATTTGTCTGGAAATGAGCACTTTAAAATATATTAATATACTTAGATTATGGCAGAATGTGCAAAAACATATGCAGAAAATAAATGACTGCATTTAAACCTTTAGATAACTTTACTTTTTTTTTGTAGAGTGGATCACAACGAAGCAAAGACAATGAAACCCGGTCTCAGGAAATGTAAGTGAGCTTTTTTATTCTGGACGACAAGTCAGAAAATGTATTATAAGGCATAATTAATTGTTTTTATTCAGAATAGTGTAAACTAAACTCCTTAAAAACTCTGCTGCATTATAAATGCAATACAGTATATTTAGTCAATTCTGGAAACACTGTCTTTATTATAAATACAGCAGCAGTAGTTCAGGTGTTCCCTGACACATTAGGTACAATTTAATCATCAAACAGTGCAACCTAGATGGGTTTTTCTAACAGAGATACAACTAAACACACTAACCAATTCACAATTTCATATTGTGTCATTTTTGCTCTATCAATTAGATAAACATAATTAGCAGTTACAGATAAACTTTTATAGAGTACTCCTGATACAATTTAATGGTGATGATCTAAGTCATGTATTCAGTCTTTGTAGCTTTATTTTCTAATTTCAACTTCTTTGTACATGTCAAATTGTGCTGATTTATTCTAAATGACGCACCTTTCACATAATTTGGCTCACCGTGTATATTTGTATTGTTTATATAATGTCTTCATTCTTTGACAGATGCTTGTGAACTTTCTCTGGACCCAAAGACGTTGCACGGCGAGCTCAAGTTGTCTGAGAACAACAAATCATTGTCATTAACGTCATATCAGCACCCATATCCTGATCACCCAGAGAGATTTGACTTCTGGAACCAGGTGATGGGCACACATGGTCTGTCAACAGCTGAGCGCTGTTACTGGGAAGTCGAGCGGGAAGGAATAGTTCAAATTGCTGTGACTTACAAAGGAATAGCAAGAAAAGGACAGTTTGATGATGCTTGTCTGGGAAACAACGACCAGTCCTGGAGTCTGACGTGCAGCGATGATGGATGGTCTTTTCAGCACAACAACTACAGAACACCAATCTATGCCCTCCCCTCCAGCAGAGTGGGGGTGTACCTGGACTGGCCTGCTAACACTCTCTCATTTTACAGCATGACTTCAGAAAAACTGATCCACCTCCACACCCTCCACACTACATTCACTGAACCTCTCTACCCAGCATTCAGGCTGAAGCCTCGGCAGGATAAGTGCTCAGTGTCTGTGTGTCAGATTTAAAAACAGACTCAAGGACTCAAACTTAGAAAATGTTTCCTCAAAAGAGTGTCAGAGACATATGAGGAATATGTCTTACATTTCATATTTTGTAATCAAATGGGGAGAGACATTAACCTTTATCTACAGACAAAAGTAATCGATATGTTTATATATATATACTGTATATGTTTTTTTTCATTTTACTATATTATACATCCTTCAGAGTATATTCATTGATATTTCCTTACGTATGTTACGCATTAAGTTGAATTTAGACTATTCTTTTTGTGATGTTTCATTCAAGTCACATTAGACAAATATCTGTGCTACACAAATAGTACATTTGCATATGATGAAATATGATAAGGCATTTTGTTCATCAGAATTGTTCAAATTTCTTAGTAAAACATGAAAATCAATGCATTCTCTGCAATCCTTATAATTTGCTCTCAATAAAAGCGTCTACTTAATGTGTGAGTGTAAGTGAAAAAAATAACATTGGGAAAGATGCTCTGACTATCTATTGTACATAATTCATTTAAACACACCTGGAAAGAGCTTAGTTCAGTATACTGAGTTTATTTATTTAGGAAAATGTAAGATGTACAGTTCAATGAACAAAGAAGAAACTAATGTCACTGCTAAAGAAACTTTCACATCCTTAGGACAATAAAAGCACAGTCACCATCTGGCTGTTTAAAATACAAAATGACGGATGCATACCAAAGTATTTCAAACTTAAGACAACTCACCCATGAACTGGTTTGACAGCACTCTTACTCAACTGACTTTTGCAGGTTAGATTAACTTCAGTCTTGATCGCTTTGACGCACTTCACTCCGGAGAAAAACGAGGTATTGTAACAATAATCATCAAAGTTTGTTTCTTTTTACCTTAACTAGATATAGTTGGAGGGACCACTGGGTTCAGTCTGACATGTTTCTGTCAGGTTATCCTCGTAAAGTCTGAAGTAGAGCTGAATGCGCAGATCTGTTTTCCGGTTTGTTTTCTGCCTCGACCAGTTTCATGAGATTAATTTCATTCAGATTCATGAGTGAATAATGTTTTTTTGTGTTGACATCAAGTGAAAATCTTTCAGTCATCCACTCTTAAACCTCAGAAGCTTATTTTCCTGAGGAAAAAGATTGTTGATGAAATGTTCAGTAGATTTTCAATCACTGAAGTTCTTTCATGCTTTTCATTTGTGATATGTAATTATTCAAAGAAAAAAAAGTTTGATATATAATTCAAATGAGGACAGTCCGGTAACAAATCACAGAAAACTAGAAAGTCAACATGTTATCATTTCTGAGCCTGGACCAATGTGACTGAGAGGCTCTAAAATGAATCTGTTTGGTAGCTAAAGAAGTCTGATGTTAAAGCTTCTGTAATTAATGTGTCCACAGAGAAGCTAAGCAAATAAATGCACATTAAGTGGAATATGTTTTGCATTTATTTTAGGAAATTAAAGCATGAAGAAATTAAGGGACTCATCACTCTGGACTCTATAAGAACCTGTTTTACTGGTTTTGTATCCCTACAGTGTGTCACTGTTGTAATGTGCAGTGTGGTAAAAACGCAAAGTTTGCATTCTATAATTCAGACATGAACTTGATAGGGACTGTCCAGAATCAGTTTGAGTGCATGTTCTTTTCATCACATTGGTAAAACATGAGGATAATTGAATTAGTTTGAATTTAAAGATTTGTGAATTTAGTGTCAAATTACTCTGTGAATACGACACAGTGCACTCTGAAAGGATCCAAATGCAAGGCCCAGGCAGGGAAACACAGGCAGGAGCCAAGGAAACTCTGAAAACTAATTAATTTACAAAAAACAACAACAACAAAAGGTACAGCAGAAGCTGGACTCAGAGTAACAACTAAACTGTGTAAAAAAACAAAACAACAACTAAAATCAACAAAAGAGAAACACACCGGAAGAAAGATGAGGAAAGAAGCCCAGAGACAAACATGTTGAGACTAGAACAAGGTATGACTGAGGACTGACGGTACAACAACAGGATCTGGCAAGGAGTGAAATTCCAGAGAAGCTTTTATAAAGGAGTGTGTGATCAGAGAAAAGAAAGCAGGACTCAGAAACACAGGTGCATGGAGTTGAGTAATAATGGGATAAAGGAGGGACCTGAAGGAAGGGAA